AGAAACTGGAGGCATGGACCTTTGAGATGCCCTCTCTCTCACCACATCTGCTCCCACAAGTCCATACTTACTCCTGTCAGCTTTACCTTCTGATGCACAGTAGCCACATCTGTCCACAATAATCCCCTAAGTAAACACAGATGGAAACTCTTAGGTCCCGCATCACAGACTTAGACCAGCGTCAAACTTAGCAAGAAGTATGGGGCCCAGCACCTGACTTTAGGTTTAGGTGAAATGGTTTATTGAGCAACAGAATTAATTCCTTTTATGGCAGTATTAAGATGCCCCTCCCATTTGGGTCTGATCTTGGGGCTGATCAGGACAAGTTTGTTGGGTGCCAAGGACCTGCTACTAAGGGCCAAGAGATGGGCTCTCAAATTCCCATTCCAATTTCTAGGACAGATGAGGGAAGAAAATGTAGGTTCCTTCAAGAATAGGAAGACTGGTGGGGCGCCTGGGTGGCTTAGTCGGTTAAGCGTCTGACTTTCGCTTAGGTCATGATCTCGCGGTTCGTGGGTTCGAGCCCCGCGTCGGGCTCTGTGCTGACTGCCAGCTCAGAGCCTGGAGCCTGTTTCAGTCTGTGACTCCCTCTCTCTCTGACCCTCCCCTGCTCACGCTGTCTCTCTCTCTCTCTCTCTCTCTCCTAGAGAAATAAATAAAACATTAAAAAAAATTAAAAAAAGAATAGGAAGACTGGTGAGGCGTGTGGGTGGCTCAGTCAGTTATGTGTACAACTTCGGCTCAGGTCATGATCTCACGGGTTGTGGGTTCGAGCCCCATGTCGGTCTCTGTGCTGACAGCTCAGAGCCTGAAGCCTGCTTCGGATTCTGTGTCTCCCTCTCTCTCTGACCCTCCCCCATTGACACTTTGTTCCTGTATCTCAAAAATAAACATTAAAAAAATAACTGGAAAAAAAAAAAAAAACAGAATAAGAGAACTGGTCCCTCTTGCCCGCCACAGAATAGATCCAGGGGCGATTTTCTACCTCCTTCATGTGACTCCTTCTGTTGTTAAACCTTGTGAAACTAGAAGAGAATGTTCAAATAAAGGGGAGTAAAATGCTGAGATCTATATATCCCCATAGCGAAACTCTGAAGGCTTCTCAATTGCTGCATCTAATCAACAACACTGTCACACTGCCTCTGTTCGTGGCCAAAGGCAGCCAAGATGGCAAAGCTTTGAAATTAAGTGGAACTGACCCAGGGCCACCCCCTTTGTACATCTGCTCAGACTCCTAAACCAGAGCAAATTCCACAACCTGAAGGTAACTGCACCAATCCCCACCCTCAGGCACGGAGTCACAACAAATCAGCTCTACGTAAGAGGAATGAAATAAAAATATGCATATTTTCTAAGTAAGAAATTTATTTGATCAAATGACAGTATACGAAGATATTTCAAACCAGAAGGCTCTATTCGGACAAAATGTAAATTGATTATAAAGTAAATGTTTTCAATGTAAGTGGCACCTAAAAACAGAAAGAACGGGTTTCCTATAAACGTGTCTGTATAAACTATTAATAAAGTCCTTGTGTACTTTAAAACTAGGTTGCAAGTATAACAGAATAACCTGTAAATAGCACTTGAAAGCAGGTTTTCAAAGTGACACAATAAATCGTTGCACACAAGGTATTTGGGACTTCTGTGAGAATGGAAGAATGGCTGTCAGTGAGAAAACGTGACATCCCTGGAGCAAAACTGAAGCCGTGATCACACTGCAACCTTGAGTTCCCTACTCAGTATTCTTTCCTTTCAGGTCCTCAGGAATTTGAATTGAGTAGGTGAGAATTTCTAATCACCCTGGTTGGGAATAATTAGAAAGAGATTGGGAAGTGAGGGTTGGAACAAAAGAAGGGAGGGGAAATTGAGGCATGGCAAGGTCAGAGGTTTCTGCAGAGCAGCTTTAGAAATGTCCAAAGAAATGGATAAAAGAAATAAAGAACTGTGACTCCTTGGGGCTGCACCATGGGGTCTGCCGGAAGGAGGGCACCGAGCAGGACTTGGGGGCATGCAGAGACTGACCTGCGTGCCCAAGTGCTTGCTGGGAGCTGCCGCACACGCACTGGCAGGCCAGGTGTCCCTGGAAGCTGGAGTCGTTGCCTGGGTGCACCAGGGACAGGGCAGAATGTGTAGGTTACAAGAACTCTCCCCAAAGGCCTTTTCCGGCATCCCAGAATCTCTGTCTTTGGGGCCATGACGGGACTGGGAGGCAGGAATTGGCAGCTCCAACTTATAAATCAGAAAAGCTTCAGATGCGTGGAAGGAGAGCCAAATACGAAGAAGGTGGCATCTGCCAGTGCGTGCACTATTAGCAGCAAAGCACAAGGCTGTCCAATGACAAAAGGGCAACTGAACCATAGGGAGAAGTGGAAAAGGTCTCAGAAAGCAACAGTTGGTAGCTGACCATTATATAGCACCCATTATTGCTAATTTAAGATCCATAAACAGCATTGAGTTTCTATCTAGTATCTCTGCTATCCTTTTATAAATAGAAATATGAGGGCTTTCAAAACATTATAAATGACACATACAGTCTCATATAAATGTTACACTCCTGATTATACAATGGATTTGATGTTACAATTAAACATAGTAGATCTGGGGTTATATAGAGAATAATTTTTGCAGATCGTTTTCCGAACCTTGGTCACACAGTTAAGTGAACACTGAAAAACACAGGAAGCATCTCAGTGGTGGTGGCTTTGGCAGCAGGCATGTTTTGTGTCTATGTATTTATGCCTTATACAAAGACACACTTGTTCATTTGTACAGATGAATTCAAAGTCATCCATAGGAGATCTTACACTTAAAACCGTTCTGTTTTCTTATCTTGCTTCTTTGCTATGAAGCCTACGCGGGAGGGCTACTCAGTGGCTTGTGTCTCCTTTTCTCTGAGTCTCACTGTCTTCTTTAGAGGTATTTAAAAATAGTTTCGTGTTTCCCATTCAGGCTAAGTGGCCCTTTTAAGATTCCTAAGCTTGTGATTACAATCTTTGTTATCAACAACACGGATGTGTGTGCACACGCACACACAGATTTTAATAAAAACAGTAAATGAATTCATATCATATCATTAGCAGTATGCCTTTAAAAATGCTTGTTCCCAGTGCCACAGAAAAAAACTTCTAAACACATGCAGGTTGATCATGAGAGATGATCCCTTCCAGCGTCTGAGCTGAACCAAGGGAATTATACCTGAAGATGGGTCAGGCTAAGGAAACCCCAAGGTTCTGTGAATCCACAGAACATTAAAATCATGGCCTCAGCGGAATCTAAAATTACTTTCTATTCAGGGAAGGATGTATTTCTAATTACTCTATAGAGTGATTTTGTAAATGAGTCTTACGCATGTGTAAACTAAATGGTCGACATGACCTTACTCTAACAGTTAGAGGAAAGTGGTTCTAAAGCCATTACGTTATAGTTATCCACACATGTGATCTTGGCCACAACAAGAGACTTCACCCCAATGAATCTTTACAATCTCAAAGCCAAGGCTAAGTTGTTCATCTGTGCTTCAGTTCCCCCAAATAAATTCATAATTTAGAAAACTGAAGAAGCCACTCTCATAGGAAAGTGAAATTAGCCTTTCTACTGTGATGTTAATAAATCAACATTTGATAAAGACGTGAGAAGCTGGATTCCCAGACTGTGGAAATTTTTTTTAATGAGCCGAGCATGTAAATTTAACTCAAGTGAAATTACTAACATAATTAGCCTCAAAAAAATGGGTTTAGGAAAATGAGGTGACCCCAGACTAGCTTATCTACCTTCTCTACCAGAAATCACCTCTTGGCAAGAGATGAGGCTTTTGGCTCAGCTCACTTGAAAATAATTTCATTTGCAATTTTTCTTAGCTATTTAACATAACAGGAGACTGACTCAAGTTGGTTCTGGTGGATAAAATAAAATCAACATGATGTATAATATAGCACAGCCAGTCAACGGGCTTTGCCCAACCAAATGCCACAGCCACACTGACCTGTTTGACTGATGATTTCAGCAAATTTCTCATCTCCCACCATCCATGCCACTGTTCCTTGAAATGTGATTCTAGTAGAAAAGAGGAATCTGGAATCAAAGCCCTCACAGCAACATCTAGGTTGGGTCCCCATCGCCTGGCTTACGGGGAACTGTCTGCCCCCAAAGCTGTGTTCACATTTGTAACTGCGGCACTGGGTATCTGGCACACATTTTAAAAAGACATCGACGGCTCTGGAGAAACAGCTTGAAACTTCAGAATACCGACCAAAGAATGAAAATTGCTCCTTCAGTCACCTCATTCTGTAACATTTGCTTGGCCACTTGACTCCCTACCCTGAGTGAAGCACTCCCCACACCAGGGTGTGTAGGACAAGATGGCTCCAAATCACAAGTACATTGCGTTTTGCCATCGGTCAAACTGAGCTCTGAATCCTTCCATCCACTATCTTTCCAGCTGTGGGTTTCAGACCCGATTATAAATAGTATGATATAAGGGTAATGTGAGCAAAGTCTGATGAGTTTTATTCATTATCAAGCTCTCTACACAATGCCCAGTAAGTAAGGTGATCTACTGGAGTACTGTGTCTGACCTGGGAGGGGAAAAAAAAAAACATAAAAAAATGCCAGTCAAATCACATCTTTCTTTGAAATTTTCCAGCTAAAAAGTCAATTGAACAAGGCCTAAGAATCCCTGCTTCTGAATCCTATCTCAATTTCGATTTCAAACTTCTACTGTTCATTATAACTACAAATAGACAACCCCATTGCCACAGTGGAGAAAAAACTGTGAGGAAAATGAACCACAACTCGGAAAAAGTAAGTGAAAAGGCATTTGCATTGACAGAGTGCTAAGTTAAAACAATAATATATCTAGAAAGTACTGTGAAAATATATATCTCAAAATAGAACTAGGTTTAGTCAGAAGACTCAGTAAAACAATTGCTTAAAAAGCTGATCAATAAAAAGGAGAGCTAAAATAACCTTTGCAGGTTTTGACCCTTCCTTACTTTCTTGCCCTCAGACTACCAATGCTCAAGCAGAGTGATCAATAAGCCATGAAGAAGTGCTGGTATTTTTCAGGATCTCTTCAAGACAGCCTCCATCCTGGTAACTTGGCTCCTCTATCCAATCAAGGCAACTGATGGACTTTAACTGTATTTGGAGATTCAGGCTCAAAGACCTCATCGTCATCTTCCACCCCTTCTTCTATTGGTTTCATCTTGGCAGAGCCCCGCTGGTGTGGGGATGGCACATCTGTCAAAGACACAGAAAGAAAAACCACTTAATGGATAGTCTGCCCTGATGTTGGTGTGATGTATCAATTATTATCTCCAAATGAAATGTAAAACTCTCTGGGAATCTACAGCTGGTACCAGCAATACAATTTCCCTACATATTGTATTTGCAATTCAGTATTTCAATAAAACAGAGGTCAAGAAATTACTCTCAGTTGTAAGAACACACGTGGAATGGATTCCACTACACGTGCTTGGATGATATGAGCTTCTCAAACACATGCAGTTTCCAGTGAGCTGCCCTAAAGTCTGATTAGGACTCAGAATGCATCTTTCTACATTAATATCATACATGGTGGCTCGGGGTCCACAAAAGCTGATTTAACTCCTAGTTTCCATAATGAATAGTTCCGTCCTAAAGTTGTGGATGCTAACATCAGCTATAGCTATCATCTTGCTACCACCTGTCCGGCCACTCTCTGGACTGATACGGGAGAGGGAGGGGTGGAAAGGAGGTGGGAGGAGAGAGGGACAGGGGCAGGGGAAGGGGCTAGAGCCCAAGCACACAGGAAAGTAAAGCCAGGTGAAGAAAATACAATCTCAAGTAGCAGAGGGGGCAGGAGCATGCCTAAAGCCTTTTAGGATGCCATTACAACCAATGGCAGGAGCCAGGTAACAAATGATCAGTCAGTCCCTCGTTTGTTCATGCATTTGCCAACTGTTTATTGAGCATTTACCACATAAGGGACAAAATGATTGATGCAGAAAAAAAATATGGTTTAAAAGTAAGAGTAGAACTTACTATAAATGGTAGAATTTTTATAAATAAAATATAAATAGTTCTTGAGGTGCTTAATGAACAACTCCCAGGAAAGCATAAACTCCCTTCCACACAATTCTCACATTTGTTCCATCAGGGTCTCCTCTGCCCCACCCACACCTGTGTGGTGCTCTTGGTGTCCCCTAACAGGATGGAACCGTAGGCTGTCAATTAGCCAATACTGAACTTAGGCTGGGTGTGAGGTTGACAATGGAAGCACAATGAGTGAAACCTGAGTTTTCAATTTGCTGGTATAGAGTAAGGGACGGAGGTGGGATCTTGCTAAAACATGAAGAACTGCTGTAAGAAATTTATCAAGATCAGCTGTTAATCCCTGGCAAGAGTCAGCAGCAGACAGCAGGGCTGGCCAGCTGACAGCGGATGCAGTTGGCAGCGAGCCACACAGCACAGGCAGCGTGCAGAGTAGTCAAGGCCAGAGGATCAGAAAACACATCTGGGTTCAAAATTCTGCTCTGCTCCTTCCTAACTCTGTGACCTGCACTCCATTACTAAGCCCCTCTAGGCCTCAGGTTCCATTATCTGTAGAAGGAGATATTCCAAGGACCTGCCTCATGGCATTGTTGGGGGGATGAAACAAAATAATCATTCAGCATTGTGCTGGGCACACAGAGAATGCCACTGAATGTTTATTATTAACTGCACAGTCCCAGTCACGCACTGGGGAGATGCCACTCCCAACAGTCACATCATCCAGCACAAAAAGGATATTAATTACACCGGGCCGGACTTTGGTTTGGCTAATGTGCTTGTTGGACATACATGGAAATTGTTCATTTTCAAGCATTTATGGTCAATTAAAATACTGAGTTTTGGGGGGGCACCTAGCTGGCTAAGTGTACAACTCTTGATCTCAGGGTTGTGAGTTCGAGCCCCACGTTGGATGTAGAGATTATTTAAAAATAAAATAAAAATAAATCTTAAAAAAATAAAAATACTGAGTCTTTTGAAAGACAACTACCGATATAAACTGTAGAAAATAAGGCTCTATTAAAATGGTCCAGGAACACAACTCTGTCAGAGAGCAAGCCTGGCAGAATCTCCCAGGAAAGCTCTTTTTATCCTTTTTAATGCAGAGGACAGCATGACCACTAACCACAACCTCTGATGGGCATGTCTACTCAGAGGGCAATGAACATGTGAGCTTTAAGTGTGAACTTGGGCAAGTTACTTCACTCTCTGTCCCTCAACTGCCCCATCTGTATAATAAAAATAAAGCTAATAATCTACTTCATATGGTTGTTAAGAGGACTAAATGGTTTAATATTTGTATAGTTCTTACATCAGTGCCTGGGATGTAATAATCATTTTGTCAATTTGTAGGTCAATAAAATGAGTGATTAATATGGTCTTTGGAGGACAATGGCCTGAGTAATTAGAAAACTTGCTAAAATTCATTATTGCCTCTAGGAAGAATAAAAAGAAGTGGGAACTGTACTTGAATAGGGATTTGTGTTTCTCATTCTAAACTGTCCAGAGTGCAGTAAAATTGTCTTAAAAAAAAGACTGGCCATGGCTTTCATCGTATGTCTAGCTTCAAGTAATAGTCAAGCCTCATAAAACATTAGCTTAGGCTGAATTTCCACAATCAGATAAAACTCTCAGAGCAGGGGTGTCTGGGTGGCTCAGTTGGTTAAGCATCTGATTCCTGATTTCTGCTCAGGTCATGATCTCACAATTCTTGAGATTGAGCCGTGTGATGGGCTCTGTGCTGACCACATGGAACTGTTTGGTATTCTTTCTCTCCCTCTTTCTCTGCCCCTCCCCCACTCGCACTGTCTGTCTCTCTCAAATAAATAAACTTAAGAAAAAATTAAAAAAAAAATAGAAACCAAGACTTAACAATTTTTTTTAACATTTATTCATTTTTGAGAGACAGAGAGAGAGACAGAGCACGAGCAGGGGAGGGACAGAGAGAGAGAGGGAGACAGAATCTGAAGCAGCTCCAGGCGGGCTCAAACCCACAAACCATGAGACCATGACCTGAGCCAAAGTCAGACGTTTAACTGACTGAGCCACCCAGGCGCCCATTTAATTAAAAAAATTTTTTTTTTTTAACAAGAAACCAAGACTTCTGATTGGTGCTACTCCCACAATAAAGCAGCTTCTTCCTATGGTCTCATTCTTGTCACTCTCTCTCTCAAAATAAATAAATAAACTAAAAAAAAAACCTCTCAGAAAAAGCAACAAGATGGCACACCTAAGAGCACTAAACCAGATCAGTAATAGAAAGCAATCAAACATACCTGTAAAACACACAAAACAGAAACACACCCAGTTAAGTTTGACTGGGGAAGTAAGACTAATTGATCTGGTTTTTAAGTCCATCTATCAAACCAGGGGTGACATTCCATAGCACCCTGTGGCTGCTATCTACACGTGGGCCAAAATGCTCCCCACCTTCTCAGCTCCATCACCAATCAGTCCATTTTCCTACTGAGGGAGAATAAAGAGGGGACCCAACAGAACTGGAAATGACGTGGTGACAACCGTCCGAGAACATTCAACTTCTCTGTGAAAGGCCTAATTCAGTCCCTGGTACATTTGCCTCAGCCAAGGAAGAGCTGGGGTGCGTACTACATAGCATTAAGAAAACAGCAATGCAGGAATCACTGACAGTTCTGGGGCGACACTGACATGTGTCCAAGTTGGGCCTCCTACTTCCTACAGTGCAAGCTCTGGCAAACTCTTTGCTCCCCAAATCCAACCTTCCTTTCCCTCTTCTCCTCTTGCTTTTCTCCCTACCTGGAATGGCCTCTCCACTCTCATCTCTGCCTGTCAAATTCCTATCCATCCCTCAAAGTCAAGGTCAAACCCCACCTTCATCTGGAGTCTTCCGTAATTCCTTGTGTGGGGAGATTCTATTCTTTAGAAACCCACAGCCCTTTCACATTCTATATTTCTTTGTGAGCACAAGTACGAGCCTCTATCCCTGAATGGAAAACAAGCATGTTGAGGGCTGTAGACCTCTTCCCCTCCTGCTGATCTTGAGGCTGAGGGAAAGACACATGGCCATCACCTTTAATGCTTGATGGATCAATTCCCCACCACATCAGTGGGGAATCACCAGCATTCCTTAAGTGCAGACAGGTCTCCAGCTACAGTAAAACCTCACTATGAACGGAGACTGCTATTACTATATTCTGTGTCATGCTCACTGAGGGAAACCATTTTTATATGGTTGACTCAACAACAGTGTTTATAGCCCAGGTTATAGCACGTGCTTATAGCATGGACAACAGTGCATACAGCATGATCGGACAGTGCTCACAGCATGGGCAAGAGCACCGTCCCCTCAGGTAAACATCAGTAGGCTCGGCAGTATCATCATCACCTGCCACAGAGTTTTCATCCAATCAGCAAAAAGAGTCCCTGAGTGATGGCAGGGCACTTGAGGCTGGGTTAAATGGTAGGGAAATAAAATTGGATCAAATGGGGTCTCTGACTCGATCTCATTTTATTTCTCAGGAACTCAGCACACTTTTCAGAGCAATTCATGCTCACCACATCCATACTATTTTTTACTTTATACTCAGAAGGGAAAGCAAAGACAACCTGGACAGCCCGTGGAAGAAAAGAGTGGGGAGGCTGCTGTGGGTGAACACCTTCCTCACCAGCAAGTGAACTGCCTCGGCACAATCAGATCCGGCAGGATAAATCGGGTGGCCCTAACAGCTCTGCTCCCATTCTTTTCACAGGATACTAGATAGACTCTCATTTCAGGCTTGGTGGCTGGGTAGGCGCCCACAAGCCCCTCTGGTCCCAGCTCCCATGACAGCACCCTGGCGCTCTCCCTCCCCCCTGCAGGTGCCCTGGAAGGCAACAGGAACTCAGCCTGCCTTGTAACCACGGCAAGCTACCCAGTGCCAGCTGGCCACCTGAACCCTCAGTAGGAATCAGGGCTGCAGAGAGAGTGCCCATGCTTTGTCCCAACCTCACTTAGCCTGACCCTCCTGTACCTCCGAGGGCCAAGGGTGATGTTCACCCGGTCTACCTGTGGATCTGTCACTGGCACGGACAGCCAGGACAAAGACAGGCTTTGAGGAACAAGGAGCTCACTTGCCCTAGACCCTATGCCCTCTGACCTTGGCAGGGGACCCACTGGTTCAGTGGAAAGACTCAGTCGCCATTACTATGCCACTAGAAAGAATTTCTTTGTCCGCTAATAAATCCAAACCCAA